TAACACAATAATTAGAGTAAATTAGTGATAAAAATTTTTATTTACATGATTATTACAAACTATTCTCAATATTCACATATGAATAAATAAATTAATCATCACAATTATATAATAAATAACGTGTTTAATATTTAAGTATGTAAGTAGGGGTGTCAATATGAGTTATAATTTGTGAGCCAAACCGGCTCACTACGGATTCGAGTCGGGTTGGATTCAATTTTTTTATTTCTATCGATTATGGGCTAAACATGAACTTGACTCACTTAACCCACAGAGTTAAACAGGTTCGAACCGGATTATGATGGGTTGACCCACAACCCACCATTAATTTTAAATTTTAAAAATAATTATAATAATATACTAATCCTAATTAATAATTTATTTTAAAATTTTAAAATAATTATAATACTTTAATAACTCTAATTGATGTTATCTTGTCTTACCTCTTCCCTACATTGTTGGTCGTCACCACAAGCCAAACCCTCACTTAAACTTGTTATTAGTTATTCATTGTACCATTACGTTTGTCGCTGCACTTTGGTCACTTGTCTTATTATTTGTCCACCGCACCACTACATCATGTCCACTGTATTGCTTTCAAATGTAAGAATTTGTTTCATGACCTAAACTATTGGATTGATGAATTTTTATTTGAAAATTATAGCATCTATACACTATTTATTGTTTGTTATTGATTTATACGTATATCTCTTTAATATATGAATTTTTGACTTTTTTTTAATTAATTTACAAGTATGGAATATGAAACAATACATCAATGTCTCAATGTAAATTGTATTAGTGATGATTTTATTATTAATGAAAAATCCAATGAGCCAATGCCGATTTTTTTCTTCACTAACATGCTATTAAATTTATAATTCATAAATAAGATCATTCTATCAATATTTACTTAACTAGTACTATTTTCAAATTTTTTTTCCAAGTAGCATGCTATTAAATTTATAATACAGAAATAACATCATTCTCATCAATATTTACCTTATTACACAATTTTCAACTTCACTAATTAATATAATTTTTAAAATAAAATAATATTTATTAAATATAAATATATATTTTATATACAAAATAAATATATAAATATTATATATATTTTAAAAAATTTATTTATATAATTATATGAAATAAATATAAATATATTTTTTAAATAACATAAAAATATATTTATATAATTATATTATTAATATATTTTTATAAATATAGTAAAAACAAATATATTTAATATATATATATATATATATATAATGTTTAAATATTTATTTATATTTTTATAAATATAATAAAATTTAATAAATATATTTTATTATATTATTAATATATTGTTATAAAAATATATTTTAATATAATTTTATAAAAATCTAATTACATAAATTATTTTTTACCTTTTTATTAGAAAAAATTCATTAGGAAAGAAGATACTGGATGCAAGTACCTAATCTTTTTATTTCCGTCTTAATGAGTTTGACTTTCAATAATATAATTAAAAAAATCAAATAATTAACAAAATTAAATAATTAAGTTATACCTATCTTAAAACATATAATATATTTTTTTATGTCATATATTTTTTAATAACTTATTATTAATTTTATTTTAATACTTTTTTAATAAATTTTTAAAAATATACTTTCTTATTTTTTTTGGTTGGTTTATTTATGTAAGTTGTATAATGAAATAATTTAGATAAGGGTTTACATATACTTTCTTAACTTCATTCACATATCTTATCTAAAATGTGAGGATTACTAAAACTTTATCATTTATATTAATATTTATGATTTTTATCTTAATCATTTATATTAATATTTATAATTTTAACTTTTTTTATATTTAATTATTATTAAATATATTTTATTATATATTTATAAATTTAATCTGTTAATTTTTTATATTATTTTATTTTTTATATTTATTTATTATTTATTAATAATATATTATTTATTTATCAAAATTCGTCACTACTTACTCTTTAAATCCCCAACTAGTATCAATCTTTTTTTCATAGTAAGAAATTAAGTTCTTATTTATTTTTATTAGATTTTTGAGTTTTTCATCTATTCCCATTTTATATTATTTAAAAAAATATTTATAATAAATTAATTTTAACATTTTTTATACATAAATAAATATTTATAATTTATAATTTTTTAATTATTATATTAAATATACACTTTAATTTATAATATTTATATCTATATAATTATTTTTTATAAGAATATAATATTTATAAAATTATTATTATTTATTATTATAATAATAGTATTATATTTAAATATTTGATTAAATTATTTTTTAAAATATTAAATATTAATAAATGTAAAATATGTAATTTATAAAAAATATTTAATACATTAATTATTATTTAATTAGTATAAATTAATAATGATTTTAATTATTAATTATTTTTAATATTTTAAAATATAATTATTTTATAAAGATAAAATTTCATTTATATAATAAATAAAAATAATAAAATAGAAAATATAACATAATAAAATTAAACAATATAATTAAAAATAAAATAATATTAATTATTAATAAAAAATTATATAATATTAAAAAAAAGTTTAATTTTAAATTTTTTAAAAGAGACATGACATATTATTTTAATAAAATTTTAAAAGATTTTTTTCACCAGAACCTCGTCATTCCCCTCTATCCATTGGTTATTCATCCTTTCATCCTCAACTTTTTAGAGTGAAAAAAATATCTAAACTCCTACCGACTTAGTTTTTTTTTTCATGAAATTCTGATAAATTAAAATATTACTTAAAATAATTAATATTTTCTTGAAATTATGTTGAACAGCTATCAAACAGCATAAGCCGGGGAGGAGAAGTCACTCAATGGTACTAAGAAATTATTGAAGTGTATAATTACGTAAGGTGAATATAATAAATATAAAAAAAGTTAATTTTCTTCATTAATTTAAAATACATATTATCAAAACCTGTGACAACCTTGATAATATAAAAGTATATAATAAATAATTATTAAAATATCATAAATATCATATAAAAATATAAAGTAAATATTAATAAATAAATATCATGAATATCTTTTAAGAAAAAAATAGTATGTATTTTTTGTAGATGAAGACTGAGAAATAATGAGATAAATAGTAAAATGACTTTTTTAAAGAGACTGAACACATAATTAATACCGCACCTACTCAATTTCTATTATATATATATTTCAATGTTTATATGCAAGTGGTCACGCCAACCTCTTACTAGCCCAACAAAATATCTAAATTACAACAATTATTATATAACTTTATATCTTATCATATATATATATATATATATATATATATATATATATATATATATATTATGGTTAAAATAACTTTTCCTTGAAAACCCTAGATCATAGAACATGTGATTGATATTTATCTAAGTTTAATTGTGTATTTAATCATTAAAATTTGTAAGATAATTTCAATTTTGGTTTATTAAATATAAAACCTTTTTTAAGTTATTTTTTTTAAATTGGAAAAAACTAATTTTAGTTTTTAAATATCAAATTTGGGGTTTAAGATGAGTATTTAAAAGTTTACTGTTTAGATGTAGTATTTAAAGTTTTAGATTAATAATTTAATATTGTTTTTAATTCTGAAGGATAGTTTGGATATATTTTGTAATTTTGAAAGATGATTTATTTCCTAGTTCATTGGAAGGAATAAAAGCAAAATGATAGAGATTTATAATTAAAAGGAAAAATTATGCAATGAAAGCAATAACTATAGCAACAACAGCGTATGATTGTCCTGGGATGGTAAAACAAATCAATATGTTTGTTTTTCGTTTGTTAAAAACGGGGCGTAACGAGTTGATGATAAATTGTAAATTTTAGTCTGTTTTGTTATAATTTAAAAAATTTAATTTATTTTTTAAGTTAAATTTTTTAATAAATTTAATAATAAGAATATCATTTATTTATCAATAATTCAATATATATATATTAAGTTAATAATATAAATTAATATATTATTTTAAGGAAATTATATTTTAGAATAATAATAAAATTTATATAATAATAAATAATAAAAAATATATAAATAACGTCAAAATTTTTAAAATTTATATTTTTTATATTAAAAAATTTAAATATATATATTTTTATTTGATAAAACTTCACCTTGTTCTCCTGATGAGTAATTCTTACAACTTTAGTTCAAGTTATAAGGATAAAATAATCAAGTATTTAGGACGAATAAGGAGAAGATGATGAACACAAAGAAAAAGAGAAAAACTTATGTTTGAGTAAGAAAAATATTTCTTATAACGAGTAAAAATGAGATTTCTTTAATTTTTCTTTTTTATAATTTTTAACTTCAAATATTGTCTTTACGATTAACTGTATTATAATAATTTTTTTAATTAAACGGATTGCGAGCTGGCGAGATGAGTTGACCAGACTTGGCGAGGATTAGCCAAAGCATCTTGACTGATCTGAAAACACTAACTCATCCTGGCATATTATAACGGATTGATCGTCAGACTTGACCGGTCTTACTATTCCTATCCTTAATTCTTATTAAAAGAAAAATATTAGTTCTAGTTAATTAAAATTATTTTTAAAAATATTAATTTTATTTAATATTGCATATTGCAATTTATTTAAATTTAATTTAAAAATTAATTAATTTATACTAATATTTTATACGATTTTATTGAAATAAAAATTTTTTGATTCGATATTTAAAAAATAATTTTATTTAAAAAATAAAAATAAAAGTAACCATAAATATTTATGACAATAAAGTAGCTAGCAATTATTTTTAAAATAACAATTGCCATCTGTTTTGAGATTGTATCCTATCCAACAGTATCCATCCTATCATCCCTGTATACTATTTGAACATATTAATATGCAATGCAAGATGCCTCTCAAACATACTTCAATCATTATATTTTCCAACACTTTATTCATTACTTTTTCAAGTATCAAAACAAAGCTCAATGACATTTCAAATGTCTGAACTATTAGTGCTTATCACTTTCACTTTCCTCTTCATTTTGGTGCTAAAAATAGTCTTGAATCAGAAAGCAAAATCAACTCCAAATATGCCTCCCGGGCCATGGAAGCTACCAATTATAGGGCATATGCATCATCTTCTTACGCCTGCATCACATAAAAAATTGAGAGACCTGGCTAAAATATATGGACCTTTGATGCGTCTGGAACTTGGAGGGGTGACAGCAATGATTGTTTCCTCACCTGAGTATGCCAGGGAGATAATGAAAACCCATGATGTTTTCTTTGCATCAAGGCCTCACAGTGTAACTTCAGATATATTGTCCTATGGATCCACAGGTATTGCTTCTGCCCCTTATGGAAATTATTGGAGAGTTGTACGACAGATGTGCACAATGGAGCTTTTAGGACAAAAACGTGTCAATTCATTCCAACCAATAAGAGCAGAAGAGCTCACTAATCTCATCAAAATGATTGATTCGAAGAAAGGATCACCCGTTAACCTCACTCAACTAGTACTCTCATCCATATATTCCATCATTTCAAGAGCTGCATTTGGCAATAAATGCAAAGACCAAGAAGAATTCATATCACTGGTGAAAGAAGGACTTGCAATATTGGGAGATTTATTTCCTTCTGGTAGATGGCTTCAATTTGTCACTGGTTTCAGGCATAAGATCGAGAGGTTACATCAACAAATTGATCGGATTCTTCAAAACATCATCATTGAACATAGAGAGGCAAAGTCAAAGGGCAAAGAAGACCAGGGTGAAGAAAGTGGAGATTTGGTGGATATTCTACTAAAACTTCAGGATGATAATCATGGAAACGAGAATATTTGTTTGACTGATAACAATATCAAGGCTACGATCCAGGTGAGGATATTAACATCTTGCAAATTTGTTTACAAAGAGGAACTTACTCCTAGCAGTATAGAACTTCGATGAATCCTTAAACTTAATTAATACTTAACCCTACACCAGTACAGTGTAGAGTAAATGTCTCTTCTTATCATCTTGATTCAGCTTATTATAACATCATCTACAAATTACTTTTCAGGAAATATTCGGTGCAGGAGGTGAGCCATCAGCAATTACTATAGATTGGGCAATGGCTGAGATGGTAAGGGATCCAAGAGTGATGAAGAAGGCACAAGCTGAAGTGAGAAAGGTATTCAATATGAAAGGAAGAGTTGATGACAGTTGCATCAATGAACTCAAATATTTGAAATCAGTTGTGAAGGAGACGCTAAGATTACACCCTCCAGGTCCTCTTTTACTTCCAAGAGAATGTGGAAAGAAATGTGAGATTGATGGGTATTATATACCAGCCAAAAGTATGGTAATTGTCAACGCCTGGGCTATTGGAAGAGATCCAAGCTATTGGAATGATGCAGATAGGTTTTATCCGGAGAGATTCATTGATAGCTCAATTGACTACAAAGGAAATAATTTTGAATTCCTTCCATTTGGTGCTGGAAGAAGAATATGCCCTGGGAGCACATTTGGTTTGATAAATGTTGAGTTGGCACTTGCATTGTTGTTGTACCATTTTGATTGGAAGCTACCCAATGGAATGAAATGTGAGGATTTGGACAACACTGAGGAATTTAGAGTGACTATTAGAAGAAAAGATGACTTGTACTTGATTCCTGTATCTTCTCCTTCTTTGCTTACGATGCAAATCTGAAAAAGGCTAAAACTATGTAACCGAAGAATATATATTATGTATTAATTCTCTCCTTGAATAAAATATCAATTAGCAAGAAATTTTAATATATATAACATGTTCCTTGATTTATGTTTATGAAGTTTTTTTTTTCCATCTAAATCTTTTGTAAAGAAATTGTCATACATAAAATACACAGTATTGATTAACTAAATGCTTGCATGATTGTTGACAACATAGGTGAATTGTTTTCCTTTGGTTAGGTTAGACATAGAGGTAGACAAAAAGGGTTAACTTCAAAATACTATATTAGGATGTGGATTGCCTACAATGCAATGGAAAGAGAAAGGTACGCCCTTAATTTTATTTTGAAACTAAACAAAAACAATAAAATATTTTTGAACAAAAAGTTATAACTATTCATATATCCTTCGGATATCATTATCAAAATTAAACCAAAATTACAAATAGCAACCGAAATTATACATGACAATTTTAGCCACCAAAATGGTGACAGAAACTTGTTTTGACGTTTTGGTTTGCCTACTCCTCTTTAACTATTGTTATCTTTCTTGATAGATTTTATTTTGTCATTTTTTTTTGGTGAGTCCTTTAATATGGTATAAGAAAAAAATATATTTTATTTTGTATTTAATAATAAATTACATTATAAGATTTTGACTAATTTTAAAAATTGAGATAGAGTCTAAGATTTTTTTTATTTTTATTTTTACATATGTTGACAACAGATTTCTAAATTAAACATCTTGATAATTTCTTTAATGAAAAATCTTTAAAATAACTGATTTTATACGTAAGATTCACACTAAAGTTACTTTACTGTCCCAGATGATATTAAATTTTATATAATTTAAATTTATTTTAGTAACTGAGTTTCAGACCATATTATTCGGTCACTAATTTAGTCATAAAAGCATAAAAGTTATCTAATGACAAGGTTGTTTGATGGGATACTGTTCTCCTATGAATACATCTCCGAGAACAGGTTTCCGTAACCCAATTTTAGTTTTACATGATTGTCCATGGGTTAGGTTTATGTTCGCTGTTTTTTGTCTCTCCCTCTCATAAATATATTTTGGTGTGTTATAAATGATGAGTGAGGGAATCGATATCAATCGCTTTCCTCGTTCTGATGCATTAGCCTGAATTTTCCACATAAAACATAGTAAAAAGAAGAAACAAAAAACACCGTTTCAATCATTTATTTTTATTTTTAAGTTTTATATATATATATATATATATATATATATATATATATAATATGATTTTCACAAGGAGTATTAGAAATGTTTGTAAAAATATTGTTAATTTAATGTCAAGTGGTACAATTGTGAGTCGTATAATTTTAAATGTCAATTAAAAAATAATAATTATTTCAACTATTATTTTGGAGTTTCTAAGTCACACGTCTAAAAAGAAAAAGGATAAATTTTGAGGATTTTTATTCAAACAAATAATAAAGAAGAATAAAACCAATGGTTTTCTTTTTCATTCATTGTACCTAGCATAACAAAACATAAATTCAGAAAGAAAAAAAAAGTTTTATAGGTGTTCAATTTTTTATCTTTGGAGTCCTACATATAAAAGTTAATGACCATTATCAATTTTGAATGTCATCAAAATTTTGAGTTCTTATCATCCAAAATTTTGCCATATTAGCATTTAGATTTGCTTATTCTCCATGTTATTTCTGGTTCTATAGGTGAACCTTCATTTATTCAAGAAAACACCTCTGATTTCAAATAAAGTTTAAACAAAAGTGGCTAACTTTTGAAAAAATTAGAGTTTTTTGAGGTGATGAATTGGTTTTTAGGATACTTTACCAAGTGCTATCTCTTGAGTGTTGAATCCATCAATAACGGATTTTCATTAATAATTTGTAAACTAAATAATATATGATTAATAAATAATAAATAAATATAATAAATAAAATAAAATAATTTTTTTATTTAATATATTTAAATAGATATAATTAATGATAACTAAGTTTGGTATCATAAAATAATATGTTAAATGTATTGTTGAATAATAAGTTATTTCGGTAAAAGGTTAGCCAGTAATTTTAAAAGTTTAATTTGAATAATATAAATATATTTACGTGAGTGTCAAAAATAGATAAGACTGCGAAATTTTTATTGGAAATATATGAATTAGGTTGATATAATATAATAATATATATAAGTTTATATTAGATAGTTAAATTTTAAAATTCATTTGGTTTAAAACTCCTTAAAATATGATGAAAGTTAGCTTCGTTAATTCTAATTTAAATTATTTTTTAACTTTAATAGACATCCGCTTATTACAAAGATAAAAATTAGAAATTTATTCTCTATACAAGAATACGAACAACGAGGAAGAGTACAAATTTATCTTTTATTTTCACTTTTTTTTTTTTTAATTTAACAGTGTAACGTCTTAAGGGTTAACTTCCAAATAAATGAATGATAAAAATAATAAATATCTTGGAACGAGAAATTTAAGATTTAGGTAATATTTTAATTTTTCATTTAAGGTTTAATGTTATAATTAATAAAGTATTAGTTTATGAATTAAATTTTAAATTATCTGATTATAAAATAAAAAATATACTTTTTATATTTATCTTGTGAGTGATACTTAATTGTGGATTTTTATATTTGAATATGAATGTGAAATAAGTCTTACACGGTTCCTTTGAGATGAAGTGTATCTGGCGAGCATTAATTTATGTATGCATAAGGTGGGTAAATATAATAAAACTTATTTAGTCGTAATTACCTAACTTTATTCGATGCAATTAAAAAATGCTCTACTTATTAAAGCTTTCCAAGTATTCGTTTTGGCAATAACAAAGAAAAATATGCATTTACAATAAGTAATATAAAAAGCAATAATTTACCATATATATAAAAGGTTAATATAGAAATAAAAAGGAAAGTGATAAAGGATGAATGAAAATATCAGTATTTTTTTTCTTTTTACCTATCTATTTTCTTTCTTTTCAATTGCACGTCCAATTAAATAATTTATTTTTTTTCTTTACTACTCTTAAAAGTTTTTCTTTAATTATTACTATTAAAATACTTATTTCAAGCTAATGCACAATTTTCGGCAGCCTAACCTATCTTAGCAAGTTTCAGCCTATGATTGATGTAGATGAACAACGTCAAAGGCATTAAAAAAAAAAAGTAATTATTAATAGGTATTTTATATTATAAATTATTATAAATACTATCGTATCAAAAATTGGATAAAAAAATTAGATAAATGAACTTATATTAATAATATAATATATGGGTTATACGAATAAGATTTAAATATTCTATTTGTGCGTAATAAATTTTTATCGATTAATCTTATAAATAATATATTTTAAAAAAATAATTTAAATAATATTTATTTATTTATTCAATTATTTGATTATAAGAATTAAATTTTTCTAACATAAAACTATTATTATTCTCTCGTTATTTTTTTTCTTTTCATTCATTCATTTATTTTTTTTCTCCTTTCTCATTCTATCTTATTCTTATTATTAAAAATACTAAATTAAAATTCAAGAAAAATATATTCAAATATTTTTTTAAATCAACATTAAAATTACAAAAATATTAATTAATTATTTAAAATTGTAATGATAAATAATTTTATTTATGATAATAACTAATAATTAATTTAAAATTATTTTATTATAATAAATTAATTACTCATCTAATTAAAAATATCAAATATTTTACATCTAAAAAATTTTCTTATTTTAACTAAATTTTATTTATTTATTAGTATTTTTCATATTATAAAACATTAAAAGATTAAATAATTATATATATCAAATTTAAATAATTTCATTAACTTAATTAAAAATTATTTTTTTCATAAAAGTGTAGATAAATGATAAAAAAATATATGTGATGAATTTAAAAATATAAAAATATAGTTTTTTTTAATATATACATTAGTTTTCTTATTATATTATTTGAATTTTGACATGATGTTAATAAAATTGACTTTAATATTTTTATCAAATTTCAGAAAAAAAAAGAAAAATAAGAAGCAAAGAGGAGAGTGAAAAAGAAGAAGTGAATAAAGAGAAAAATAAGAGGAGAGAGAAAAAAAGAAGAAAAGGAGTGAATGAGGAAAGAAAAAAATGGAGTGAATAAGGAGAAAAAAATGAAAAAAAGAGAATAATAATTATTTTATAGTTTTGATAATTAATATATTATTGGATTCATTCAAATTTTATATAAAAAAATTATCTATTTAAAATAGAAAATCACTAGTATAAATTTATAATACTATATGATATAAATCACCTATAAAGTAATTATATATGACTTATTTAAAATGAATATAGAGATTAAAAATAATTATTTGAAATTTTTAGGATGGAAATCAAAGAAAATATGTTTAGTGGGGCTAAAATTAAAGTTTACATATTTTATAAAAACTAAAACTTGTGATTTCAAATTATATTGGGAGGAAAAAATAAACAAAAGTTTTACAACTATAGAAATTCGAAATTGACCTTTTTTTCCTACAGATATTAGAAATATTTTTAAACTTACAAGTAGTGAAAATAAAAGTATATATCAGTATTATATTCCTATATTACTTTTACCTTTTAATGGTTATTTTTAGGAGAAAATATTTAATGAAATTGGATGTATGTGTGTTTGCTTAAGAAAATAAACACTATAAAGCAGAAACAAAAAAAGGAATAAACATCAAAGACTTTTATAGAAGCCCTTGTACTACTATCTTAAGTCACCATGGATTCTGAATTACATAACATATTAGCCCTTATCATCTCCTTTTTCCTCTTCATGATTTTGGCACTCAAAACATGGACCAATCTCAGCAAAACTGAGTCTTCAACAAACATACCCCCAGGACCATGGAAGCTACCTATCATTGGAAACATGCATAATCTTCTAACATCTACACCACACCGAAGATTAAGAGACTTGGCCAAAATATATGGTCCCTTGATGCATCTCCAACTTGGGGTGTTCGTCGCAATCGTTGTTTCCTCAGCAGAGTATGCTAAGGAGATTCTGAAAACCAATGATCTCATCTTTGCATCAAGGCCTCACATCCTAGCTGCAGATATACTGTTTTATGAATCCTCCGATATTGTTTTTTCTCGTTACGGAAATTACTGGAGACACCTACGGAAAATATGCAATATGGAGCTTTTAACCCAAAATTGTGTCAAATCATTCCAGCCAATAAGAGAAAAAGAATTCACCAGCCTTGTCAAAATCATTGATTCACATAAAGGGTCTCCCTTCAACCTCTCTGAAGCAGTACTTTCATCAATATATCATATCATTTCAAGATCTGCGTTTGGCATGAAAAGCAAAAACCAAGAACAATTCATTTCTGTGCTAAAAGAAATACCACCTGGAGCAGGTTTTAACGTAGCAGATCTATTTCCTTCTGCTAAATGGCTTCAACTTCTCACTGGTTTGAGGCCTCAGCTTGAGAAGGTGCATCGACAATTTGATCGGATATTGGGAGATATCATCGATGAACACAAAAAGCAAAAGTCAAAGGATAAAGATGGCCAAGGTGACGCAAAGGAAGATTTGGTAGATGTTCTCCTAAAATTCCAGGATGGAAATGGAAGCAACCAGGACTTTTGCTTAACTACGAACAATATCAAAGCTATAATTCTGGTAAGGATAATCACGTTTTATAAATACTTTGTTTCATGATCATAATCTTACTCTCCTTTCTACGGAACCCATGCAGGTTGATGGGAGCTCCTTGGCCCCACTGATTTTTTTTTTCAATTTTAAATTTAATATATATAATTTATTAATATTAAAAAAAAGTTATATCTTATAGTTAAATAGTTATATTCAATTATGTTTTTTTTTTTAAAAATTAAGTATTTTTTTACTTAATAAGATATTGATTATAGATGATAAAATGAATTAGTCGATCAACTTTTCGATTTATCTTAAAATTGATGATTTTAGTTTATAAATTCTTTTTGTTTGGTTTCGTCTGACAAGTTAAGGTTGAAGTGAAGTGAACTGAAATTATCCGTTTTTAAAACATATTTATATATTAAATTAAAATTAAAATAATTAAAATAAAAATATTATATATATTTTATGATATTATTAAAAATTTAAATATATTATAATATGAACTGTAAATATTAACTAATAAACTTAAATTATTAATTATAATTGAATATTTTAATATATAAATATTATAATTTGTTTAATTTATCTAATAATATATTAATTAATAAATAAAAATTTAAAATAATTAAATATGCATTTTAAATAAAAAACATATAAAAAAATTTATATAAAAAATATTGATAAACTGGTTCACTCGTCAACCAATTATTTGACAAAATAAATTACGATCTGCCAGATTACGATCTGTAATAATTTTGATTATGAAGAACCAATTTCAAATTTATTTTTGACTGAATAAAAATGAGACAAGTTTTATCATTTGTAAAATTAAGAGCCATATCTAGTTACATCTACAAGATTTTATTTGTTTTTCTTATATTATATAATTTTATTATGAATAATTTTAAAAATTAAATGTTATTCTTGTTAAGTTTAATTAGAACATTATATAATAATATTTTATAATTTAAGGTTTGAGACTAATAACTAATATTTTCTCTTTCCTATTTCTTTCTATATTATTGTTCTCAATTTGGTGTTTTGGCCACAGGTTATATGAATCGTGATGTTTAACTATGATTCACAGTTAGTTTTTTAGTATCAAATTTAATTCACTCTTAATTCATTTTTAGATTTTAAATATATATATATATATATATATATATATATATATTATTTAGAAGTTAATTTTTTATGATTATATATAATATAATGAATATCATATTTAATTTTAACCTATTATTATAAGTTAATGAAAACATTTTATCAAACTAGTGATCTAAATTATAATCTACAATATTAAAAGAAAGGTTTAATTTATAATAATAATGATTATAATATATATATATATATATATATATATATTTGAACATTTTTTATAATTATAATTAATATTGTATATATGTTATGTGAAACCTATATTTGGCATAATATTTTATGTATATATTTTTCGTGAAATTAACTTTTTAATCGCAAGTATCATTCTCGAGTTTTAAAAGCAATTTATTATAGTCTTTTTGAATATATATATATATATATATATATATATAATTTTATAAAACTATTTTTATTCTCTCAAATTTAGTATTTGGAAATTAAAATTTCTTTCACAAAATACTTGAAAAATACTAATACATACTTTTTTTTTTCCAATTTAGAGAAACAAAAACTAGATTGACTCCAAACTAATATATAGTATATATCTCACTGGAGATCTTCAAAAGGTCTGCAATATGTTGCAATTCTCGTGTAGTGAATTGGATGTCCTTTAAGCATATAGGGTACATTTTAGAGGATTATTACGAAGTTGTGACTACTAAGGGAAAATCAATTACAGCATAGTTTGTTATACGTGTATTTTTTTTCACTGCTTATGTTCCAATGAAAAGTTGTAACAAGTTGATAATTACTTTTTGCAGGACATGTTTGGTGCCGGAGGTGAGACATCATCATTTACCATCATATGGGCAATGGCAGAGATGATAAGGGAGCCAAGAGTAATGAACAAAGCACAAATTGAGGTGAGAGAGACATTCGATATGAAAGGAAGGGTTGACGAAAGTTGCATTGATGAACTCAAATATTTGAAATCAGTTGTCAAGGAGACCCTAAGGTTACATCCACCAATTCCTCTATTTGCCAGAGATTGTGAACAGCCATGTGAGATTAAAGGGTATCGTATATCAGTCAAACATAAGGTAATTGTGAATGCTTGGGCTATTGGAAGAGATTCAAGCTACTGGACTGAACCTGAGAGGTTTTATCCAGAGAGATTCATTGATAACCCTATTGACCATAAAGGGACTAATTTTGATTACATTCCATTTGGTGCTGGAAGAAGAATATGCCCAGGCAGCACCCTTGGTCTGATAAATGTTGAGCTGAGTCTTGCATTTTTGTTGTATCATTTCGATTGGAAGCTTCCTAATGGAATGAAAAAAGAGGACTTGGACATGACTGATCAATATGGGCTTACCGTTAGTAAAAAGGATGACCTATATTTGATACCAGTCACTGCTCGACCTATTCTGGTAAGATAAACCATACAAGAAAAATATCCTTGAAAAACTAGCATCCCCATGATGTTCATTGTGGTTACCATCTCATTTGATTGATTTTTCATTCATAATGTAGCACCTCATAAAATTCTTATCTGCTCCTTTCAAATTCGAAGGATGTATAGGATGATATATGTAAACATCATAAACCAGTTTGTACATAGCACATATATGAACATTAAACATGCATATGCATCAACCAAACATGCTCAGTAAAAAAACTACAAATTTAGAGTACCGTGATGTAGTCTTGTATTGGAACATTAACAGAAAAGTTGTTAATATATTTTGCAGAATAGGGAAGCATGCATGCAGGCAAAGAAGGGTGAGTAGGATTGAGTCCCAGGATGAAGAAGCCCCTACAGCTGATAACATCTTTAATACGACGCAGAAACAGTTTATGATATGTAATAAATTTTGTTTCAATTAGTGATAGTGTACCAAGTGAATTAATGTTACTTCCGTATAGAATAATACTTCGTTATATTGGGTAAACAAAACTCTTGTTTGTTTATTTGTAGTTTCTCACTCTCTGCCCAAAAAACTGTTCAATGACAGTAAGGTATTAAGAATCTTCCTTTTAATTAGTTAAAACACTTGCTATAAGTAATGGTCATCTAAAATCTCTTAAGAGATTACAGTTAATCTCCTGAAAATAAAGAATTTAATTTGTTTTATTGCAATAGAAAAAGTTTCCCATTTATTCTTATGTTACATGTATGTTTTATTACTTTTATATATTATTTTTTAAAATTACAGAAACATAGTTTTATTTAAAGATTATTATAATGTGTTAGGATCGAGCGCTTACCATTAGGCCAAAAGCTATAGTCATTAGTCAGAGCGCAACTCTTTTTACTTTAACAGCCCAAGCGCCACGATTCAATTGTGACTTGGCCCACCTGACCTTCGTCACAAGACAATTGATGCCACCTGCAACAATCTCCTCCTCAGCAATTGTCCTACAAGGTATCCCACTCTTGGATTGCGACTTGGCCCACCCGGCCTCCGCCACGGGACAATTGTGCAACCTGCAACAATCTCCCCCTCAACAATTGCCCCACTAGGAATCGAACTCGTGACCTTGACTCTGATACCAATTATTATAATTCAGTATATGTGTAAAACTCAGTATTTATTTAAGTGTGAAGGCATTGGCTTTTATAGCCTAGAGACTCAAAACAGAATAACAACAGTTTTACTGCTGTTACTGCAACATAATAGGAGGCATAAAATAAGGAAACAACTGACCTAGTACATCCTATAAAATAGGAATAGTTATTGACACGTAAAGCATAAAGTAACTAACACTAACAATCCTTCCCTTAAGCTTAACTTACTTCATCAATCTTGAATACTCCAAGCATGTTTCTGATTTTTTCAAATTGATCAAGTTTCAGAGCTTTGGTCATGATATCAGCTATTTGTTCTTTTGTACTACAGAATCTTAATTTAACTATTTGATCATTAACTAAATCTCTGAGGAAATGAAACCTCACTGCAATATGTTTACTTCGGCCATGAAAGACAAGATTTTTGGATAGTTGAATAGTAGAATTGTTGTCACAAAGAATCTCGGTGATTTCTTGTTCCTCTATTCCAATATGTTGTAGAATTCTTTTGAGCCAGATACATTGACACGCACAGTGTGCTGCAACAATGTATTCGACCTCAATGGTTGAGAGGCTTACCACTGGCTGTTTCTTTGAAGCCCATGATACAGCTGCAGTTCCCATTATAAACACTGATCCTGAAGTGCTTCTTTTGTCATCTGGATCTCCTGCATAGTTGTTGTCACCATAGGCTGTGAAATTTATCTTTCTTCCTTTTTGATAAAAGAGACCGTGTTCAATGGTCCCTTTGAGATACCTGAAGATACGTTTAATTACTGCCCAGTGGGACTCTTTAGGATTGGCCATGTATCTACTGACCACACTAACTCCAAACATCAAGTCTGGTCTTGTTACTGTCAAGTACATAAGGCTGCCAATGACTTGTTTGAATTGTGTAGCATCGACTGAACTTCCTATTTCATCTTTAGATAGTACTGTTCCTGGTACAATAGGATTCTTGACAGGGTTGCTATCCAACATGCTGAATCGCGTAAGAATTTCACGTGCATAGCACCTTTGACAGATAAAAATTCCTGCTTCATTTTGTAATACCTCAATACCAAGGAAGTATTTCATTTTGCCCAGGTCTGTCATATCAAATTCTAACTGCATCGAATGTTTGAACTCTTCGCAAATATCTCTATTGCTCCCAGTAAAAATTAGATCATCTACATGCAAGCTAACAATTAAAATATTATTTCTAACCTTCTTTGTGAACAAGGTGTGTTCACTGGAGCAACGTTCAAACTGTTCTTTAGCAAAATACGCTTCAATCTTGCTGTACCAGGCTTGTGGGGCCTGTTTAAGTCCATATAGGGCCTTTTTTAGTTTGTAAACTTGTCCCTCTCGGTCTTGCTTGATATATCCAGCAGGTTGGTGAACATAGATTTCTTCTTGGATTTCACCATGCAAGAACGCACTTTTAACATCAAGTTAGAAGACTTCCCATGCATTTTGAGCAGCCATAGCTAACAATACTCTTACTGTATCGAGCCTAGCAATAGGAGCAAAAACCTCTGTGTAGTTAATTCCATGTTTCTGAGCGTAACCTTTGGCCACCAATCTGGCTTTATGCTTTTCTATCTGGCCTTTTTTATTCAACTTTGTTTTGAAAACCCACTTCACTCCAATATGTATAACTCCATCAGGTGGATCGACTAGTACCCACGTGTTGTTTCTTTCAATTGCTTGTATTTCCGTATCCATCGCCTCTCGCCATTTTGAACTAGTTTTGGCCTCTTCAAATGTGAGAGGATCTGCAGAATCAGTCAGCACCATTGCCAGTAGATCCTCCTCCTCTTCTACTAAAAGTTTAGTCTCATAATCTCCCAACCATAAAGGTTGTCGACGAGTCCTTGTCGCCCTCCCTCGAACTAGAGTATTTGTGGAATCTGATTGCTGCGGCTCCGTGGCTGCCACCTTTGGAGGTGTAAGCTCTACATTTCCACTTTCTTCTCCACGTTGAGGTGTGACCTCTACATTGTCATTTTCTCCTTCTTCTTGGCTACTTTCTTCTTCATCTTGGCCATTTATATTAAGAGCAGTAGGCGTATACTCTGCTCTTTCTTCTTCCCAATTCCAACTTTTGTCTTCTTCAAATATCACGTCCTTACTGATAATAATCTTTTTGGTAATCGGATCAAAAAGTTTATAGGCTTTCGTTTCATCACTCACGCCTAAAAGAACACATTGCTGACTCTTATCATCTAACTTGCTTCGTCTTTGATCAGGAACGTGAACATGGGCAATGCATCCAAATACCCTGAAGTAGTCAACCCGTGGTTTGAGTCCACTCCACATCTCCTCTGGCGTTCCATGATCTACGACAGTGGTAGGACTCCTGTTTTGTACATGAATACACCATTTGACAGCCTCAGGCCAGAAGGATTTTGGTATTTGTTTTTCATGAAGCACTGCTCTTACATCATTCATGATGGTGCGGTTTTTGCGCTCCGCAACCCCATTCTATTGAGGGGTGTATGCAGCTGTCAATTGCCTAGAAATACCTTGCTGTCTACAGAAGTCTGAAAATTCCTTAGACATGAATTCTCCACCCCTGTCTGTTCTCAGGCAAGTTATGAACGATCCAGATTCTTTTTCAACACATGCTTTGAAGCTCCTGAAGTTATTGAATGTTTCAGATTTCTCATGTAAAAAATAAACCCATGCTTTACAAGAGTAATCATCAACAAAGCTTAGAATATACCTTTTATTATTGTTTGAGGCAGGAGAAATGGGACCACATAAATCAGCATGCACCAGTTGGAGTTTAGTGGATGTACGCCAGGAGCTTTGCTTTGGTATAACATTTTTGTGTTGCTTGCCAACGAGACACGTAGTGCACATAGTTGTAGGTGAAAGTGATCCTAGCAAAGATCTCATTGATTTGATGAAGTCAAAGATAAAGTCAAAGGTCAACTCTGCAGCAGTCAAACAAGTCACTCAGAACAAAGGAGCTGAAGACTTAGTGTGTCTAAACAGAAAGCTTAGGTAAAACCACTTTACCTTTTCCACTGCATAAAGCTTCTTCACTCAATTTGCAAAATGCCTCAAAAATAGTTTTAAACAAATCAAACAAAAGCATTTTGACAAAGAACCTTCTTAACAATGGTTTTAACTGATATAGTTTTTTAAAGAAACGTTTAAAACACTTAGAATGTTTATAGAAGTGTTTTCACAACATTTTAATTGATACAAAAACCTTTTAATCGATTAAAAACCCTTTATGACCGATTGGAATTCGAATATAACAGGTCGAATGAAATATAATCGATCAGATTTTAAATATGAGCGATCAGATTGCTTTTAATCGATTAAAACACGTTTTAATCGATTAAAACCACTTTGAAGTCAGGATGATCGATCGAATGAAATTATGACCGATCGAAGTTGGTTATGATCGATCGAATTGAATTATGACCGATCAGACTTATTTCAATCGATTAAAACGTATTTCAATCGATTAAAATAACTTAGAAAATCTTTTCAATCGATTAAAACGAACTTTCAATCGATTAAAATGACTTGAAAATATATGTGCAGTTTTTCAATCGATTGAAACGACTTTATATCAGCCTAAAAGAACTTAGAAAGTTTTATAAGAAGGTTTTTAAACAAATCAATCGATTAATACGCGATTCAATCGATTGTTTTATACTTTGAAAATGTTTGTAAAACGTTTTAACTGATAAAAACGTGGTCGTATCAACTAAAACATTTTCTGTTAAAGATCAAGAACGCATTAATGGGTTGAAAGGACTTTTAACAGATTGTAACGACTATTTCAACAGATTAAAACAAACTTTCAACAGATTAATTAATGCAGCAGATTTGAAAATACTCTTTTATAAACAGAATTGCTTGGAACTTTTATCATATCAGTTTTTACACAATTCAAGCAATCAATACAAGCAACTATTAGCATTCTTTTCAAGAAAGATACACAACTGTTTTTGTGAACTTCTTTTGAAATCTTTCTTGAGGCACTTTGCATTTCTTTGAAGAAGAAACTGACTGTGGATTGGTGTAATCCGGTTTGAGCTTTCTAGTTTCTTCTTTGTAAATTCTTTTTCATTACTTTGTATTGTGTTGTGCCCGGAATTTGGGCACAAGTTTTCTCTGCAGTTGGAAGTTGGTTGTGGAGGTTATCAAGAACTCGGAATTTGGTTCTTGGTAAGAGGTTGAAGCACGTGAGCCGGAATTTGGTTCTTGTGGTTATCT